AAAATGGAATTTATTTTCGATTTTAAACTTCCTGCATGTTTTTAAAACTCACTCGAGTTTCATTCAGTAAGTCTAAACATGAAGTTACCACATTTTTCAACATAAGTTCAAAAGTGCAAATTTTCCTTTCTTTCATAAAGACTGTGTCGTGGTCCTGGGTCACACAGTGTTCAATGACAGACTTCATGCATTTAGTTTAATTTGCATTTTTTTCATTACTTTTTTCGCTATTACGTTTCGATACATATTCTTTTTTCATTTGTTATTTTGATGTTGGAAAATACAGATTAATTTTTTTCTTTGTATTTATTTGAGTTAATTTTGAAAAGTCACCATTAAACAATATTTGGTTGATAATAAATGGGAAGTGAAGCATTGCAGCAGTTCCTTGTCTGTGTGGTAAAAAGTTGAGATAAAGTCAATGACAAACTACAACACTTCACGAGGAAGGTTCTTTATATGTTCAAAATCTGTATTTTTGTCTGCATTGATTTAAAGACTTTTATGTGTCTTTGTGAGTCTTTCAATCTTAAAATGTTACTTACCAGTAATTTGTCAACACACTTTTACCCTTTCAAAAGGAATTGGCTCTATAAAACATATTTAAATTATGATAAACTTTCAAGCCAAATGCCTCTTCGGATTAGTGTGAAACAGAGGGCAGAAGCATGGAAGTCGCAAAACAATACCAAAAATATTTTATAAAGTTTTCAAACATCATGTTGTTTAAATAATGACAGACAAAACATTTTAGACATTTCGCACAATTGCTTATATATACCTTTTGTCAGTGCTTCTTCAAATTGCGCAACAGCAATTTCTCATTATAAAAATATTTCATATGTCCTGGAGTCACATAAAAAGCAGAATAAAAAAATAGAAGAAAAGTGTCTACAAGAAGCGAACAAACTAAAAAAGTTGGGTTGAAATTATCTTCTGAGTTAGAAAAGAAATTAAAAAAAAGATGATTCTCAGAAAAGTTCTGAAATTGCAACATGTACATTTTTTCTGTTACCATTGAATGGATGCTTTGACATTAAAACATTGTATCCACACAATATAAACAGTTTGGTTATCATTCTGTGTAGTCCCATCTTGTCATTTCATGCTTTATCTTTTAATGGAGGATGTTGCTTGCAGTGTGTTTAAATGGCCACACGAGGGAGCCTGATGCGATGTGCTTACATCCATCTCTCTATTCATTCTCTTTCACTTATCCTTATCAGGGTCACAGGGGCACTGGAGTTTATCCCAGCTGTTATATGATGAGAGGCAGGTTCCACTCCAGTGGTATCAGACATCTACTACATGTTGGTGTCAATCTACTGTCTATGTGTTGAGCTAAGTTTATTTTCCATATATGATGTTTAAA